CCATCTCTAGCGGCTCGTGCTACGGTTGATGATAACAGCTTCCTCTTTTTTATTTTTGATTCAGCTTCAAAAAAATGATCAATCGATTGCGATTTTCTTTTTCCACCATCGCATGTGTTATTATTAATGACGAGGTCATCACTCTCTTCTTGAGGGGAGAGTGGCGAGTAGTAATACTGTTTATAGGTATCTTCATCGAAGCTCAATGATTTCTGCAACAACACAGTTATCATGTTAATATCAATTTGTTAACACTTAATCATAAAAGTTAAAAAAGTTAAAGTTACAGCCTATTAAAGTCCACTGCTGAACATAGGCCTCCTCTCATTTCTGAGAGGGTTTTAGAGCAAGGAAATGTCCGCCGCGCTCCCTCAATGTGTGTTGGCGAACTTCACATGCCTTCGAAATTTTCTCAGACATGCAGGTTTCCTCACGATGTTTTCCTTCACCACCAAGCACGTGGTAATAAGCACTTAAAATTGCTATTAACAATTTAATTGGTGCTGGCGGGGATCGAACCCGGGTCGCGTACTGTGAAATTTACAGCTAGCGCTAACCATCTGAGTTACCACGGCTTAATCATATACATACACAATATTTAAATAAAATAATACACACACATGAAAATAACAGAAAAAAAGTAATTTAGTCAATAGAATAAACACTTACATCCATAGCCTTTGGTGTATTGAAGTAACACAAATGTACTATTGATAGATCCACTGTAGCCAAACGACCGTACACTAACTCGATGACTGCGTTTGTTGGTCTTATATACCACCAGTACGTAAAAATTCTAATCTAAAGTATTTCCGTAATGAGTTGATAATTACTTTATGCGTCAACCTGTTTATCTCACATTTCCGTTGCCTATCTCAACATTTCTTCGTATTGTGTTTTGTTTGGTGATCAATGACTCAAGTACGATTTGTATAACACAAAAATGCAATTTAATATTTAGAAACATATCAGTTTATCTCACATTTCCGTTGCCTATCTCAACATTTCTTCGTATTGTGTTTTGTTTGGTGATCAATGACTCAAGTACGATTTGTATAACACAAAAATGCAATTTAATATGTAGAAATCACTATAATTGACCATTCCTATGTTATTCATTGAGTAGCTAGGTACTGTAATAATCTACTAATAGCAGTAATATCATGGATACACTAGATGTACAACAACATCTGAAAAAGATTCACCCCAGTCTAGAAAATAATGTTTATGCAGCTAATAGACTGCCTATGTATACCCACGTACCAACGTATATAATATGTAATTTGGATACAGATGATAAACCAGGGTCACATTGGGTAGCTTTATATATCGATACGAATGACGTCGGTCAATATTTTGATTCATATGGACGATCACCTGTACGATATCATCTAGAGTTTTTAAAAAGGAATTGTAAAAGATGGAACTGGAATGTTGATAGGATTCAGAATGAGTGGACTTCAGTTTGTGGCGAATATTGCTTAATGTATTTGCTATATAAGTTTCAAGGATGTTCAATACATAGTTTTACGAGTATATTTACAAGGAACACATTGTACAACGATATTTTAGTGGATGAGATGTTTCGCTCCTATTTTATAGATAATAATTAATAAGATTTTGTATTTTATAAATAAAAATTGTAACAAAATTATGTAATGTGTTTTATTGATGATTCAGATTAGCGTTGTATAATTAGGAACAAAGAACTATAACACAATAGCACTGATATAGTCGACGCACACGCTGCAATGAAGGTGATTAATGAACAATAGAACAATAGAAATAGGAACAACAATGGGACGCTAATGACGGTGGAGGCCCTTACCGGATATCAATTAGATATTAGCTAATTGATCTACACATCTCCGGAACCGTGCATTCTACACAAAAATGGACCGCGGATTCGTGATCAGAGCATGCCAAAACCTTTTTTTTTTTTTTTTTTAGGATCGGGCGTCGACGAACGTCGTTGAACCACGTCTGACTCAGGTGGTCTAGAAGTGGTACAACTACACTACTGTCGTCCGTTGATTTCTTTCCCTTTCACCCTTACAATTGGCCGTTTGATATTCTCTGCCACGGCCTCACAGAATACCAGCGTGAAGTAGAAGTTTACTTCTGCATTTCGCTTCATGAGTGCAGGTGGCTGTAGGCCCAATTCCCCCCCCCCCCCTAAATGGAAGACTACCCCAGGAGGGTACCAGCAACACTGGAGCGTGGGTGCTCAGGCAGAAAAGCAAGACGAAACCTGCTCGGAGCAAGCGGAGCAATAAGACAAAGGCAACCCCTGCCACGCTTTGCGTGAATTTATGCAATATCAGGGGACTTCATTCAAACCTTAACGCCATCCACAACCATCTGGAGACGGCAAGGCCGTCCTTGCTCTTTCTAACCGAGACAGGTGGGTCCTGGTGTCCTCTGCGGCTGATACTTCGTATCTCTCGTACCCGGGGTACACATTAGAACACTCCTTTGTGCTGGATTTGGAGTGTACGTCAGAGAGGACATCTGTTTTCGACGCCTCGGCAGACTTGAAGATACGGACCTGTCCATCCTATGGCTGCGTGTAGACAGCGACGACCATTACCGCGTCTATGGGTAAGGTTATAGGTAATGCAGACACAGATCGCTTCATCGACCACGTCCAAATGGCTGCAGACCACGTGATACAATAGGTCCCATCCGCAAAAATCGTGATGCTCGGTGATTTTAACGCCCACCACGCTGAATAGCTTGGTTCCCATTTAACGATCACGTCGGTAGATCTGTTTATGACTTTGCCTTGGCGTATGGTCTAACACAACTGGTTACTTCGCCTACGCGGATCCCAGACGTGGAGAATCATGTACCCTCCCTGTTGGACCTTCTGCTGACCTCTTATCCGGATCTTTATCAGGGCTCCGTCGATGCCCCTCTTGGGTCTTCGGACCATTGTCTGATCCGGAGTACGGTGCCACTCACGCTCCCATCGCAGTTGCGATCTGCAGCTTGCCGCCGTGTTTGGCACTATAGGTCGACCGATTGGGACGGGATGCGGTCTTTTTTTTTGCATCCTACCCTTGGGGGCAGGTTTGCTTCTCGCCGGATGATCCTAACGTTGTTGCTGATTCTGTCGCTGATGTGGTACTTTAGGGAATGGAATTATTTAAACCATCATCCGTGGTGCCTATCGGAGGCAGAACTCAGCCATGGTCGACTGTTCTATTGGTCATTCCTGTAAAATTGCATCAAGTTATAAGCAAGAGTGCTACCGGGCATGGGCTGACGCATCAACGTCTCGGGATGTAAACACCAATGCTCTTAAAAAGAAGTATAATTTCGCCTCTAGGTCCTTTTATTAGGATGTTTATCAGGGCTCCGTCGATGCCCCTCTTGGGTCTTCGGACCATTGTCTGATCCGGAGTACGGTGCCACTCACGCTCCCATCGCAGTTGCGATCTGCAGCTTGCCGCCGTGTTTGGCACTATAGGTCGACCGATTGGGACGGGATGCGGTCTTTTTTTTTGCATCCTACCCTTGGGGGCAGGTTTGCTTCTCGCCGGATGATCCTAACGTTGTTGCTGATTCTGTCGCTGATGTGGTACTTTAGGGAATGGAATTATTTAAACCATCATCCGTGGTGCCTATCGGAGGCAGAACTCAGCCATGGTCGACTGTTCTATTGGTCATTCCTGTAAAATTGCATCAAGTTATAAGCAAGAGTGCTACCGGGCATGGGCTGACGCATCAACATCTCGGGATGTAAACACCAATGCTCTTAAAAAGAAGTATAATTTCGCCTCTAGGTCCTTCAAAAGCGTCATTGCCAAGGCAAGGTCTGAGCACATCGGCAGAATTGGCAAGAAACTAGTTTGCCTCCCTTCAGGAACACGTGAATTCTGGTCTCTCGCCAAGGCTGTCCAAGGGAACTTTTGTCAGCCATCTCTGCCATCTCTGTACAGGGTGGACGACTCACTGGCCCATGATGCCAACGCCTTCCACTGTCCGATTTAGAAGAAGTTTTCTTTCTCGCACAACTTCCTTGTGGAATCAATTACCATCTGCGATTTTACTGGACCGATACGACTTAGGGATCTTCAAGAAAAGAGTACTCCTTTTTAAAAGGCCGGCAACGCATCTTCAAATCCCCTGGTGCTGCAGTTGTTCATGAGCGGCGGTAGTCACTTACCATCAAGTGAACCGCAAGCTCGTTTGCCTCCTCTCCTATAAAAAAAAGGCCACCTCTCATTTCTGAGAGAGTTTTAGGGCAAGGAAATGCCCGCCGCGCTGCCTCATGCGTGTCTGCGAACTTCACATGTCTTCGAAATATTTTTTCACGATGTTTTCCTTAACCGCCGAGCACGTGCTAAATCAGCACTTAAAATTGCAATTACCAATTTCATTGGTGGCGTGGCATTCAATTGAACCTTAGTTGCCCGCGTACTGTGAAATTTTCTGCGAGCTCTTAGCCCCTGTGCTACCACGGTTCTGAACAAAGAAGATATAATAATTCATTGATGCTAAACTAGGAAACCCTATCTATGCCAGAACGCAGTTTTCTTCCATGTATCATACAGAACATATTCCGTGTATCATAAACAAACTTCTTATACGGAGGTTACACGTTAAGTTTGACGTCAGTTTAGTTTGTGACCTTGATCACATATAGACTGATGGCTGAATGATGGATTGACGGGAGGTTTTAAACACACGTTCAGTTTGGAATCAGTCTGATCAGACTGATAAAAATTATTAAAATATTTAATTATTCATCATTCTGGACCATCAATGCATCAGTCTACGCGTATACAGTCAGCTAGTTTCCCATCATTCTGACATCAATCATGGATTGAACTGACGCCAGAATGAGCGTGTAACCTCCTACTTACGTACGTGTTCGTGTGTGATATACAAGTATATGTTTTTTTTATTTATTGCTTAATAATAGAAAATACGAAGCCACAAATTCAAACACCATTAAGGCCTTATATGTTTAGTTGCAATCTTTATATTTCCAGAGCCTAGATGAATTACCAGGCAATGAAATTGCACAATGGGCCGATGGCCTGTTCCTCGTATACTCCATCACAGACCGTGAGTCCTTCAACTACGTGCGCCGTGCCAAGCAGAGCCTTCAGCCAGATGTTCCCCTGACCCTTGTGGGAAATAAAGCGGATATGGTACATTTACGACAGGTTTGTGTTTTTATAACCGATAACTATATATAATTTTCACCTCGTTGTTGAAACAGAAATTTAAAAAAAATAAAGAAATAATTAAGAACTTATTTGTAAAGGGCAACGGCAGAATATCAGCGCAGTGGTTGTTGCACCGTGGTACAATGCTGAGTCGGATGCCTATTTGTTGCTGCATTATGTGAATGTAACATAATATATTAATGTTATGTAATTATGTATCACGCAGCTTCAAATAAAGATGTTTCTTTCTTTTAGTGTTTAACATGCGCGTTCGTTAGGTATTTTTCAATTGTTTCATTCGTGTTGGACGAATGCTCTGGTTTAAAAGATAATACTAAGGATGTGTACTAGATTATTTTCTAATTTGGTACGAATTTCGAAACTCTTATTTTAACCGAGTTCTAAAGGTTTCTTTATGTATGTTCACCGATTTCTCGGAAACGACTGAACCGATTTAATTAGTCTTCTTTTAATAAATAAGGATTCAGGGGCTGTTCCATATAAATTTCAAGAAAAAAATTTCACTACTAAGGGTGGAGAAATAGGGTATGAAGTTATGAATACAACTATTTAGATGATATTCTTGTTGTTACCTTGAAATTGTAATATTCCTTAATCCACCCAAAAGGGTAAAAAATTAAACTTTTTTTTTTAGTTTCTTTATTACTTTCAATTGTTTGATACACTTTGTTTTAGCACCGACTTCAGAAGCTATTATGTGGAAATTAGTTTATTTTTCGTTTTGATGTGTCGGTTTTACTATTATGTATGTTCTACTTCTATTGCGTCGAATTACAATACAATACAATACAATACTCTTTATTGTACACCAAGAAAAGATAAAAATATCAAAAAGAAAAAATAAACAACTATTGAGGGAAATACAAAGGGCGGTCTTATTGCTACATATCAATCTCTTCCAGAAAACCCAGAAGAAGAAATAAATAAAAATAAGAAAAAGAACAATGGGTAGGGTGTACTAAAATAAAAAAATAAAAACAAATAAATATAAAATAAAGATACAAACTTATACATTAAAAAGAGAACATTCTTTAGGTAAATCAATGACCATAATTAAGCGGAGGAAGTGAGAGGGGTTAGAGAGACAAATAGTATTACTTAATCTGTTTCTGGAACACATTTGAGGATTGAGCACTTCTAATTGACTGGGGTGAGGAGTTCCAAAGTCTTACTCCAAGAACAGAGAATGATTTATCATAATAAGTCGTGGAGTGCACAGGACATTGGAGGGAAAGATTTTCTTTGGAAAAATTATGACAGGAGCTGAGAAATTTAAAACGTTCTTTTAGATAGGAAGGACTAGATATATTAAATAAGTCGCAGTAGAGAGCAGAAAGTATATGAGTACTCCGACGAAGACGGATTGGGAGCCACTTGAGCTTAGTGCGGTATTCTGAGACATGGTCATATTTGCGAAGCCCAAATATGAATCGTATACAGAGATTTTGGAGTCGCTCAAGCTTGCTCCTCGGTGATATCAAGGTAACAAATGTCAGCATAGTCGAAGATAGAGAGTAATAAAGATTGTGCAAGCGTAATTTTGGTAGCAATGGGTAAAAAGTAATTAAGCCTCCGGAGTGCAAGCATAAGCTGCTCATTGCATTAATTATGTTATATTAAACGTGATATAATCTGTAAAATCATTTTTATACAATGCGATTCGGGTTATAAAAAATCATCATTTCAATTATTCAGCTTAACAACAAGCTTGAAGACATGACTGAGTTGAATTGGGCTTTACAATTTTCTATATAACCGACAGAAAAATAGAAAAGAACATAATATTATATTATGTTCTTTTCAAGGATTTCTCTATTGATCGGGGGAATGAAATTCATCATCATCATCAGCCTGCAGCAGTCAACTGCTGGACATAGGCCTGTCCCAAGGCGCGCCACTTAGCCCGATCTTCGGCTACACGTATCCAGTTTCTACCAGCCACCCTGCGCAGATCGTCGCTCCATCTCATCAGGGCGCGTCCCACACTACATTTGCCTAGACGCGGTCTCAGCTCCATAACACGTCTACTCCACTGGTTGTCACCTCTGCGACAGACGTAGTGCCAGTCCATTGCCACTTCAGCTTACAAACACGGAAGGCTATGTCAATAATCTTCATCTCCGACGGATTTCTTCATTTCGAATTTTATCTACCAGAGAAACTCCAAGCATAGCTCTTTCCATCGCTCGCTGAGCGACTTTGAGCTTGTGGAGTAGCCGTATCGTCAGAGTCCACGTTTCGGCACCGTAAGTGAGTACCGGCAGGACGCACTGGTTGAAGACTTTTGTCTCCAGACTTGGCGGTATGGGCGACGAGAAAACCCGACGGAGCCTTTTGAAAGCTGCCCAGCCTAACTGAATCCTCCAATCGGCTTTCTTCTCGAAGTTATTCTTAATTAGTTGCTATTTCTGCCCCAGGTAGGTATATTACTGGACAACTTCGAGAATTCACCATCAGTATATTCATCATCAGTTTTAAGGACAAAAGAAGTAAAAAAAAGAAGTAGTAATTGGAACTGGCATGACGTGATCGTTGAACATAACTTTTGTCTAGTTCAGATTCATAGACCAACACGTTGTGAAGATTCATTCAGACTCCTCAGCATGTCCTGAAGTTCTTGCAGCGATTCTGCCATGACGACGAACAATATCATGAGCAAAACTTAAGTGTGAGATATACTCACCGTTTACATTAATGCCGCATCCTTTCCAATATAGCGTCCTAAAAACATCCTGTAGTACCAATCCAACACTAAAGGGGATATAACATACCCCTGTCTCACTCCGCGATGCAACTGATTTGATTTTGTTTGACTGCCCTGTACTTAGACGGACACCGTACTGGTGTTGTAAAGGCATCACAACGCTTCGATGTACCGCCAGTCAATTTGACACCGCTGCAAAGAATCCAGAACAGCCCAAGTTTCGATGGAGTCAAAGGCTTTCTCAAAATCCACAAATACAAGACAGGGGCTGATTATACTCTGTTGTCTTCTGTATTATTTGCCGCATACTGTGAATGTGGTCTATAGTGCCAAGCCTCGAAACCCAGCCTATTCCGCAAACAACTTATAGACGTGGCTCAGATGCGAGATCAGTCGATAATTTTTCAGCATAGTCTTTGAAACATTCAAACTTTGAAACAAGACTGTAATTTTTGAAGTTCTCCCTTTGTTCTCCCTTCCGGCTTTGAAGTTCTCCCATCTCGTAAGATGTAGTTAAAACTCGGCAGAGTTCTTTTAGCAAGGGTTGACTCCCAGGCTCTAAGAGCTCCTTTGTAACTCCATCTTCTCCAGGGTCTTTTCCATTTTTAAGTTGGCCGAGGGCCAGCTCAATCTTCTCAAGGCAGATGTCTGGCAGCTTGACGGTATAGTGGCGGGTAAACGTGGCTCTGGGATCATCGCATTTATGGTTTGTGGTTTATGTGAGGCATACAGTTTGCCATAATAGTCTTCGATCTCAGAGAGAAACTCAGGCTTTGACGTGAGGACTTTGCCATCATGCGTCTACAGTCTTGCGATGTGACTTCTCCCAAGGTCTTGAGCAAAGGCTTTGGATTCCTTGTTTCGCTCTATTGCCGCTTGTATCGTAATCGTATTAGAGCGACGCAGGTCCCGCCCCACAGCTTTCTTCACTAGCTTGATAACCTGTTCCGATGGCGTTGCTGTTAACTCACGCCTTCTTTTCATAAGCTGAAGTGTCTTATCTGAGAACTTTGAATTTTGGCCCTTATGTTGCTTGCCACAAGATCCGTTGCCCTCTTCTCTTAAGATCTTGATCACGCTGATAAGGTCCTCGTCAATATCCAACGTGTGTCTCAAGGCATCGAATCGGTTTTTAAGTTCTAGATGGAAGCGTTGGGAGCTACTTACGGTTTTAAGCAGATTTGGTCGAAGGGTGGTCTTCATCAATTGGGATCTTTCAATTGTAAAATCGATATTCAGAGTGCCTCGGACAAGGCGGTGATCGTTTCCGATATTGAATTTGCTGATCACTGAGACATTTCTGAACATGTGCCTTTTTTGTAATGTTATAGGGACTGCGCTAGATCAACTTCCTTTGGGGCTTCTTCTCGAAAAACTAATTCATCAGAAATAGGCCCTCTTTCTCGAGTAAGTTGACCAGCATTTGTCCCCTGTGATTTCTGCTTCCAAAACCGTGCGGTCCCAAAATCGACTCAACGTCGGTGTGCTACCCACGTTGGCATTAAAATCACCCATAACAACATTGTAATGGGCCTTAGTAGTGTTATGTAATGACGTAGAAATGTCTTCATAAACAATTTCAACTTCATCATCCGAATGCACCGAGATCGGGGTATAAAATAATCTTCAGAGAGTATATCTTTGATAACTTTAGTACAAGGTATGCTACCCGTGTCGCCACACTGGAGATTTCTACAATCTTGTTAGTGAGGATCCTTTGAACGAGGAAACCTACTCCGTCTTGTGAAATGCCGTCTCCCTCCCGAAAGTAGAGAAGTTGGCCTGATTGCAGGGTAAGTGTGTACTCCCTCTCTTCGGACTTCAATTCACCCTACAATATGCCACCTCATATTTTCCAGCTCAACTTCCAGTTCGAAAATGTTTCCGTCTTGCCGCAGAGTCCGTCCATTATACGTCGCCAAGTCCAGTTTTTTGTGGTAACCTGTCCTCTCCCGGGGATTCTTTGCACCCCCTGCCCCACTGTTGCCATGACCGCCACCACAGTCAGGAATAATGGAGCGACCGAGAACTGGGAGCCGTGTTTTTGTGGTGCTGTTCATGGGAGGATTTGTCCTTAATTGCCACGCTGGGCAAGCGGGTTGGCGATTGCAGTGCCAGACACATCGCACCTGTAATGCTGCTGCTCATCACAGGCCTGAACATTTTTGGTCTGACATTTCCATTGCCATGAATTTTATGGCATTTCCCTCTGTCGGCTCATAGAAGATCCGCGGGATTAGAGGGATAGTCAGTATTCTAGGCCGCTGCCACACAGCACATTCATAAGACTGCTTTATTATTTTTCAGGTGAGTCCAGAAGAAGGTGAAATTTTAGCTAAGGATTTTGAATGCAGCTTTGCAGAAGTCGCTGCAGCAGAACAAGTGAACCAAGTCGGGGAGGTGTTCCATGAACTTTGCCGAGAGGTCCTGGCGCTTAGAAGACGCGCTAAACACAGTCTGCTTGATAGAATGTTGGGTTCGAAGACCGCTTACAGGGTTTATTCCAGAGGAAAAAGTGACAGCGCTTTACCCAAAGACTAATGTTTAGTCCATATCCTGTGCATTTAGTAACTTAACGTATGTTGAGTTGTAGAAAGATTGTTGAAATAAAGTCATGGTTGTAACTAACAGTTTATTAACATTAGAGTGCGGAATAGAGGAGCAATATTGTCTTCATTAAATACAAAGTTTGAAAAAAATGTATGGCATGCTCGATCTATTATTAAAATAGAAAAAGCCGGACATTATTTTTTCAACAGGTTTAATTTAAAAAAGTTAACAAATTCAGATACAAAATAATTACTCACTAGTTGTCCTTCATTGTATGTAAATTATCCACAGCATACCTAATGTATATTGAAACTTCATTGTATTGCAAATTAAAACAGTAGAAGAAAAACAATTTAAAACAGCTATAGGATAGACATAGATCTCCTGTGGCAGGGCAAATTCGTCCCTTACTTCCTAAGTCTGCGAGAGAATTTTACAGTGGGTAGAGTACCTACGCCGCGGCGCGACTTCAAGTGTCACGGCGTTATCTCTGGAGGCGAGCGATATGGTAAATAAACACGTAAAAATAATTAACAATTTCACTGGTGCCGGCAGAGGTAGAACTTGTGTTGCCCGCGTGATTTAAGGCGAGCGCCCTAAGCTACCTCGGGTCTAGTCGTAGTATTAGTAGTTGTAGTATCATTCATTCATTTCTAGTGACCCGATCATTCAAGTATTGATTCGTCTTACGATACGGGGATTCCGGGTCATTCGCGTCGATCATTCAGATGGATCATTTAGAGTTTCAGTACCCTGTGCTCTGTAAGATCCGTTCGATTATGTCGGTCGACGGACATAACTTTAGGTACTCATGGGTCGTATGTCCTGTCAATCATTTGATCCGGAACGTTCAAGTAATGTAATTGCAATCATCAATACTATGATGCGACCCGGGTCAAATGAACGAATCATTCACACAGGTCTTGTTAGAAAGATTCGTTCGTTCGTTTTTTAGTGATTGATACATGTCTAAGTTGTAGTACTAGTCGGTAGAAGTAAGGCTCGTATACAAAATAATAAGATCACTTAAAAACCTTTTCCTTTTTTTCAAGAAAATGTTAATTCTTATTTATTAATTAGTAAACGCCTGTATTACTTATTCCCTTCCCTTGTTGTCATGCGTGATTTTTCCTTTCTTAGATTTTGTTAAATGTTCATAGACGTTCTTTTATTCCATTTTTAAGTAGGTAAATAGTTTTAAGAAACTATTTATTTTCAATATGAACAATTATAATCATTTAAAAAGTAATAATAAATGTTGTTTTATGTTTATATAGCTTAGAATAATAAATTCGATTCGAAACGTTATAAAAAAAAATATGTACTTATTTCATAAATATCAATTATTCAAAATTAACTACTACCTAACTCAAATTGGATGAAAACTGTGCTGTTGATATCATAAAAAATAATAATCTAATCAGCTTTCAATCAAATTAAATATTAAATACTGCAATGGAAGATTCAATGTTGCATCAATAGTTAAAAATATTGGTGGGATATACTTACGGATGCTCAATTTCAATCTTTATTTTCAGCACCAACACAGTCCTCTGCAAACACTAAGCATCACTTGTTGTAGAAATTTTATTTATTAAAAGCATTCATTCTTATAAGTCTTTTAAATCTTGAAATCTATATGAGAACCTTGTCTTGACAATCGATGCCCGTGTAGATTTACATAATCTTTGTATAAAATACCATAGTTTAAATCTGTGAATTCTTCCTTCTGAAATCTAGTTTCATTATTATTTATACAAAGGATGTACCTCTGATTAAAGTTTAACGCGTGTCAATCTCTACCAGTAAAAATATTTAGGTTAAGTAGGAAACTTATGTAGATTTAGAAGGGCTAAAGGAGATATTTTCATTATGAAATTCTCTGTTACCAGTCATTGAGTTATAATCTTATAATGTAACACGTACATTTTCTAATGGCAATAAAATTTATAATAAATGCAAATCTATATAAGATTAGTTTATTATTTTATTTTTATTAATATATTTTGTCGACAGTAATATACATATATATACATATGCGTATGTGTACGTACGTATATATATATATACATATGTATGTACACATACGCATATAAAATTATAATATACTACCAACAACATGGTTTTAGGTACGTAAGTGTGCGTGCAGCAGTGAAATTTTACGGGCTGATAAAGAAAGAAAGAAATGCGTGATAAGATGTTGATTGAGCATGGTTTTTGCATTACTTGAAATGTACGCAGCGCTCCGTCTATCTTCTTTTTTGGTCTGAGATATTCACAAATAAAAATAGTAAAATTCTCAGTGTTACATTTTATTAACTTAATTATGTACGAAAATATTTGTAATTAAAGATGAATCAGATTTATAACAATAAACGGTTTCACTTATCGCGTCTTTTCATTAGAATTACACCGTATTATTTTTGGTAATGACGGTAAATCAGTACAATAAAAACGATCATCACGATGTGTCAAACGCAGAAATAATGAACTGCGATTAAAAAATGACTAACCAGTCACAAAGGCAACCCTCAGAGTCAGACGCACAAAGGGTAATCTGTATAAAGTAGCCCTAAATTAAAATAAAGACGCCTCCCTGCGCAGCAGGGGTGCAATAACGCGTGCGCCAATCAGATCGCGGCTATTACACTACGTCATGCAGTTGACAGTTGTCGTAATGTCAGATTTAAAGATGGCACCGCAAATCTGTGACAATGACGAATTTATTATTATTACGACTGATTCTATAGAAGGGATGGTTCGTTATTTCTAAAAAATCGTAAGTATTAGATAGAGAATTACCTTTTCTTTATTTTTAATTAGCTGTTCCCCGTGACTTTGTCCACGTGGAATATATTACGATTGAATTTTATGGTTTTTTGTTTTTTTACGGAACCCTCATTCTTTTTATTAAAATAAAAGTAGCCTAAGTTACTCTTTATAACTTTAGTTATCTGCCACTGAAAGACCCGTCAATATCGATCCAACCATTTCGGAGATTAGCCGGAACAAACACACAGATAGACATATAAAAAGTTTAAAAATTGTATTTTCGTCATTAGTACCGAACATAATTTCATATGCATTTATTAAAACGCTTTTTTGACGACATTAATGATGAAACGACATTACAAACAGACACTTCAATTTTATTTATTTGTATAGATATAGGTTTGGATAGATTAGCAAATTAACTTTACGTCCACCGTTAAGGCTACTGCTATGCATGTACATCTGCAACAAACTTTAAATAGAAATGGCAATAGACCCGATGGAACACGTCAGAGCCCGATGACACACTGAGGAATAAAATTCAATGTCCCACAATCTGCAAACACACAGACCTTTTTCAGACGGATTCCTACCGTCTTATTATAAAAAGTGGTTTATTGATAACTTTTAGTTTGAACTATAGTTATAGTTTAGTAGGGTCCTCCTAAATTAAAACCAACCATCGCGAAATTTGTCATTTGCTATCAAACTCCATCCTTTAGATTTTAGTTCATATATTTCCACGTATTTTCCACGACATATTTCGTGAAACAGATTGTAGTGTAAACGTGAGACTAATTATAAACATTATTTGTAATAACGCCGCTAGGCTTTTATACCTGGTAATATAGTAGAAGCATGAATGAGTCTGCTCGACCGCAGAAGAGCTACCGTCCGATATCAACGTGAAATATCTTCGTAATGTCGCTGTTTCATATGTTGAGACGAGAACCGGAGGTCCTTTTTATAAACACAGGTAACATATATTCCATATTAGGTCTTCCCCAGAGGTGACATCGAAACTATATTTTGATTTTTATTCGAATATAAAAAATGTAGGTGTCTATGAGCCACGGCATCTACTTACCATGAGTTAGACTGTGTGTACTATTGAAACCTCTACTTCTTATAAAAAGGTAGAAAACCAACTCTAGTACAGGGGATATATATAAAAAAATATATTCCGTGCTCTACTAAATATCATATTAAAAAGTTGTATGTAATATAAAATGAGAATCTTTAAAAGTTCATTCCGTATTCGGATTGAATCCAAGTTCTGAACGCCGGAGATGACTAAGTTCCATAGGATTGGTCACTCTTTATAGTAGCTTTTAGTAGGACTAAAATAATTTACGTTATTTGAAACTATCTGATACTTAGTAAAGAACTTTTTTTAATTCGAAATCTATTAAAACTATTGTTTATTATATAATAGAATATTAGATTACCAGACGTAATTTTGTATTGTATGAATGGTAAATAGTAAAAGGCATCATCAATGACCTTGTCAATTTAGCCCGCAAAGAGATGGGGCGAGTAACGTATCGCACTCACCCCGCGCTCTCCTGCAACCCCTGCCTGGATGCGCGTGCGTCACTCTGCCATCAGCCACCTCTGACGTAAACACTGACTGCTAACTGGCAGTTCCAAATTAAGAAAAAATATATGTATATTTAAATATATTTTTTTATACAAAGTGATAAAGTGAAGTGATTTTATGTACCTAATAAAACTTTCGGAAGGGGTGAGTATCACTGTTTTTTCTTTTACATATTAGGCATTATGTACCATAAAAGCTTTGCGATTTGTTTATTCATTAGTCTTGCATAAATATTATAACTTTATTTTTTCAATATTTTTTTCCAATATTGTATTTAAAATATAAATGTTTTTTGGCGAATGTTGTCCGCGAAATTCTTCATGCAATGGCTGTATCAATAATGTTTGAATGTTTACAGTCAAATTATTATATCAACTTCTAAAAATCAGTTTTATAGTAAATTAATGCATTTATAAATATTAATATTTTTTCATGCTTATTTCATAAATGCTTAATAAATTATATTATATATCATTTTATACATACTCTATGATTTAGTACTTATGGTTTAATTATTATTTTATAATGTTTAGGTGTTTATTTTCAATAATATTATAATTTCATAATTAAAAAGATGATAAATATAATAAATCTATGAACTCTAATAAGTGTAGCATTT